AACTGCTACCTCCTGGCTAGCAGTCAAATGCCTTAGGCACTGTGCCTCCAGGGTTCCACAATTAGAAATTCAAAAGGTGCTGAAAACAAAAAACTTTTTTGTAACAGACACTGGGTAAAATCTGTTTTGACTTGAACAATGTGAGGCTTTTTACAAACATCATTTATTGTGAAAATTTTTTAATTTCACTATCATTTGACTGTAGTACTCAGAAACAACAACAAAAAAAAAACCCACCAAACCTGTCACCGACTTTGATTCCATCTCATAACGACCCCCGTTGGGCTTCCAAGACTAAATCTTTTTGGAAACAGATGCCCTTGTCTTTCTTCAGCAGAGGGGCTGGTGGATTTAAACTACCAACTTCTGAGTTAGCCGCCAAATGCCTTAAGTTCTACACCACCAGAGCTCCTAATTTGGGATACTACTACCCCAAATTCACTGGTGACGGTATATTAATAAACAATTCAAAATCTCATAAAATTTCCTGAAAAATTCTGAATTTCCAAGCAGCTCCGAAGTTTCAAAGTAGGGATTATGGGCCTAATACGATCTATGTAGCATCAAACACAATAAATTGTAAACCCAGTAGAAAGAGTGGTCAAGACTCTTGAAGTCTAAACTCAGCTTTGCTATTATTACCTCTACACTTAATTCCTCCAGCTTTAAAATCATCACTGGTAAACTGAAGGAAGTGGACCAAATAAATCTCTTAAGTTCCTTCTACTTTTTTGAGTGAGTAATTTTAATTAGCAGTATCTCCGAAAATTATTTTGAATACTAAGTGGAATACAACTTCCTATACTTAAAACATTCTGGCCATATTTCCCTATAATATTTTCTACATAGAGCCAAAAACCTATGTATAAAGAAAGTAGTAACTATTGGTGGGTGGAGTATTAAATAAAAATAAATGTATTCTTTAAGCTGTTTTGTCATCTGTTATATGGAGCTGAAAACAAACAAACCTACTTCAGGGGTGTAATGAGGTTAACAAGATAAAGTCAAAGCCTCTGGCAGAACGCTGACTCTGCATTTATGCTCAATAAATACACTAAAACCACCACAGAAATTTGTTATTTTAAATACTGTGTTATCATAATTTTCAGTTTAATTAAATGCATGTATGCCAGGAAATGCTGAATACTTTAGAATTCTTGTAGAATTAACTCCTTGTTATTTAGGTTTTATGAGCTCATATCGATGACATGTCTTTGAAGGTAAAGTCTACACAGCAGGAATTATGTCTTTTGGTAGGAAAGTGACATGTAAGTAATAATACAATGTACATATTCAAGGTTAATAAAAATCTTACTTTTCTTCTGACACACACACACACACACACACACACTCACTCTTTCTCACTTACCTGGGAGAGCAGTTAAGAGTCAAGAGCTATATGGAACCAGGCTCACCTACATTTACTAGGGTACTAAAATGTGAATCTTCCAATCAGCTTCTAAGAATCCATACTACATTACATGTATCTAGGGGCTAAAACCTTGAGTTGTCTTTCTCTGTATACCAAGCTACCTTGAATTTTCAGATTTCTAAGTTTTCCTTGAACTGAGGGTTTCCTGAAACCAATTTTTTGATAAGAATATTAATTTTTAGAATCCAGACACATCCCAAACAAACAAAACTCTCTTTGAAAAGAAAGAAATCTGGAATTTGAGAGAAGGTGTTAATTTCCAACATAATTTATAAACACGACCTAAATAAATAAATAATGGTATAAACTTGTAAGAGCCTATGCTTTCACACCCATGTTGAAGTTCCTTGTATCTCCATCTACTAAACAAAAGACAAGATCAAGTACATGTACATTACAAAGAAAGGAGCAAAATAGCTGCATTGGATTCCTTTCAATAAGGGAGGTGAATAGCTGGAGAGTATACCAAGCTGAATTTCAAGAAACCTGGATTCTAGTCTGGACAAGTCAGTAAATCTCTGAGCTCTTTCTCATCTTTCACAAGTAGTAATAACAGTTTCCTTCTTTCCTCTCAAGGATAAGAGTAATGAAAGCACTTTAAAAAGTTTCAAGTGCCACAAACTATATTCTTTAATCAGCATCAACATTTATGAAGCACAAGATGAATTATTATTATAGGGAAGGGGGAGGGGACAAGCAGGACTGGGTATTAAGCAATCTAGTTTCTACTAGTGTGTGATGCATGGCACTTCACGTCTCCAGTTCCAGTTAAGTCACTGGCATGTGCTGGTCAATTTATGTGCCAGAAAAAAAAAAAAAAAAGCATACTATGAGTAACATTAATTTGCCTAAATTTTATTCTAGCTTCAAGACTGAGATGTTATGCTATAAATCTGAATTTAAGGCAGGCCTAAAATATCTGCACGCTCATTATTAACAATAAAATGAATCTGATACTGTAAAAGGTAAACTCTGTTAAAACAGCAATCATGAGCAAAACTACTTAATGTGCTAAACACATGTCTTTGGAAAAACAGGCTGTGGCTAACCAGTCTATCACTAACTTCACTGGGAAAATGGCATTAAAGCATCATTATTACATTTCTAATTGCTCTTTAAATATTCAGATTAGTTTTAAAGTAAAAAGGACTAATACAGTAAAAATATAAACCAGAAAAGTCACAAAATTATTATATAGGCCTAAAGACAGAAATGGAAGCTCTGGTGGCTTAGTGCTTAAGGTGTATTTGACTGCTAACCAGAAGGTTGACAGCTCAAACCCACCAGCCACTCCTTGGAAGGAAGATTGGCAATCTACTTCCGTAGAGATAACAGCCCAGCCAGATAACAGCCTCGCACTCAGGTCGCTGAGTCCGAATCGACTCGAAAACAGTGTTTTGTTTTGTTTTGTTGGGAAGGACAGAAATATATCTCCAAAATGTACACCTGACACTGGTATTTTCCAACTCTGCTATTCTTAAAAAAAAAAAAAAAAAAAAGGGCTGATCATTCTGAAATCAGGTTAACGTCTACCGTTAATTTTTTGTTAAATGCCCCAGGGTACATAGATTTTCAATTATATCTTGAACACTTCCCTAAGACATAGGGTTTTTTTAATTTAAAATATAACAAATCACCAAACTCAAGTTTTATTATTGGTCACAAATACTTTTTTTAAAAATGGTTACATCACTAAAATATAATCAGAAATCAATGCCTTCAAAAAGCTTATAGAATGTGCTTATTTGTCCCCACAGGGTGATATTAAAAAATCCAAGTTTTTGAGTTAAAAAACTTCTGTTCATGTTCTGATATCTAAATGTGGGAGCACAAAGTGATGCCAATAAGCAGAAAGACGACACTACAATAAAACAGGGAGTCATCAAAACTTAGTGAACTTAAGTCTAAAAGGCATAGAAAAAGAATCATCAAACTCCACCACACAATACTTAAGAGAGACACAAACAAACCTTTATTATAATTGTGTCAATTTGACCTGATCCTAAAGAAAATATTCTACATGAATACCCTATGAGTTGATGGCATACACTGGTCAATTTATATGCAAGAAAAAATGCATACTGTAATATGAAACTACTACTCAGACTCAATCGCCAAAAAGCTGGCAAAACTTTCAGGGTGACGATGGTGATATCAAAGATCGAAACTGAAGGCAGAAAAGCAGGGAGCTCAAGCTCCCCAAACACCACTCCGAGAATAAGGGTATGCAGCACCACACCAGTTGGAGACGAAGACATGGTCATAAGATAGAACTATGCGCAACAAAACCCTTTCCAGGCTCCCCAACCTCGGTTTAGAGCTCTAATCAACGTACTTCCGTTTCCCACCAAGCTTGGAACGAAGGGGAAGCCACAACTGTAAAAACATTTAAAAATTATTCCTGTATTTAATTATCTAGAAAATACTATGGCAAGCTACCATTTTATTACATTAAAAGTGCCAAGGAACTATTATTTATCTGCAAAAACTGTCCTTTTTCAAGGCTTCGACAGATCGGACTAAACCACACCCCTCCATAAATGGCACATTCCATAAAACGGCCAGGAGGATGGCAAAGGGCGATTCCACCGTACGCTGGGGAAGAGCAAACTTATTGAAATACTGTAAATAAAGAGTAATACTTAACTGACCCTAAGCCCATCACTATTAAACCTATTCGCGGTAAAGAGATGGCTAAAATACTTCCCAACACACGTATGCCCGTGAGGACAGAGGTAAAGGGAACGAAAACCCCACGGGAGTTGGGTCCGGCTGTTAACCCGCACCTCCCTAAGTAATGACATTTCCCTGAGGAAGGACATTCCTCGTCAGAGGGAATGAGCCAACTGTGGAGTTACACCCTTTCAAAACCACGAGTTGAGATAGAAGCAGGAGCCCACTGTTTTCCAGAGCCCAGTCCCGAACTCTTACTTTTGCCCGCGGGGAAAAGAACGCAACCCGCCCACCAACGCCTCGACCCAGGAGGCGGGGCCCTACGGAGACCCAAGAGGACGAAAGCGGGCGGGTGCCACCGCTACCCTTCCCCCTTCATGTGGAACACCCCTGTCCGCTAGAGCAACACAACTGAGTACCCCCCACCCCCACGCTAGTCTAAGGAAAAAGGGACAAGATGAGTGCCTCTGCCCTTCCCCACTTAAGAAAGAGAGCTGAACTACAGTCCACCCATCTCCTTCGTAGGCTCCAAGTGGCCAGACCCAAGGAGGTGGGGCCTGGTTGGGGGCGCTGACTTCACACCCCTCCCCCGCCGGCCGCTGGCAGCTCAAGAACACCCCGCCCGCTCCATACGGCGGGCGGGGGAGGCAGCAGAACCGCCCGGAGCCTGCAGCGGGGCGGGGAGGAGCGCGCGCATGGGCGCGCGATCACCACCCCCGCGCAGCCCCGTGCGCCAGCTAGGCCCCCCACGCTCAAGGGCGCGCGCAGGCCCCAAAAGGGAGGAGGCCGCGCGTGGCACCGTTAGAGGGCCGACTGTAGTCCTCTATCCCCTACTCCTTCACCACTCATCCCCAAGCCCCTCCAACCCGCTCCAGGCCTCGGACTCCGCACTGACCTGACAGGCCGAGACATGTTCGCTGTCGAAACAGGAGCCAGTCGAGAAGCCAAAAACCAGTACCCC